TGTTGTACAGGACTTTAGACGGGGTTTTTCGCTATCCATTACAGTACTCTATTGTACTGTATTGAAGGCGTGATTCAGTGGGAGCAAAAGTTGAATCTGAATTTCAGTGTCGAGTTTGTTGAGAAAATTCGACCGGTGAATCGTATACTAGATTCAACTCAATAATACACTACATATTTTATCCAGCTTTCATTTCATGAACCAACTACAGCAATACATAGTACTGCATGATCCAAAGCGATTGATGAAATACTATCCTACAGCTATACATGACTTCAGTCCTGCGAATAGTTGGTCCATTCCATTCTCACCTTTCCTGATGCAGTAGGATTGTCGTCAATGAAGCAATTACGAATCTCGATTCGTTCCTTTTCCACCTTGCCTAATAAAGTGCCATGGATTTTTTCTATATCTTCGTTACGTCGTTCATAACTATCACATATAGTAAGTACAACAACTGGATGGATTACTACCGAGAGTTGTAAAGGACTAGAGACCGCCATGCTTGATTTTACCTGAAGTCAACTGCGCATGCGTCTTACGGTTTGGAGGGCAAGCTGTCCTTAGCATCTTGAGTTTGCCTCCGGTTATGCTATACTGTGCTATACGCCGTACAGTGTACACCATACACTGTATAGTGTATCCTTGTGATTCTTGACCACCGTAGGCTCGTCTAGTGCCTGTACAATACAGTACCAGTACCGAGCGAGTGCTCACGTGCTAGTAGTGAATCATGGTGAATGTAGTCCGGTATGGTGTTCTACCCCATCCAGCCGACTTCAGAAGTAGTCCAAATGTGGTGAAGAATCCACTAGGAGACTACTTGCTGATCACCTGTATACTGTATACAGTACGTATGTGGTGATTGATTGATTGGCATGGACTGGAGGAGTACTAGAAATTCTTCTTCTACAGATAATCAGATATTGCTAACTGCATATTGGTCTTATTTTGGACTGTTGAAGTAGTTCTGATATTTCTTATACTGTACACTGTACTGTCGTGAATCGCATATACAGTACTGTACTTTACAGTATACTACAGTAACATCATATTACTGTATGTTACAGTAAGACAGTGCAGTATTGTATAGTGTACAGTATAGTACATGGACTATCTACTGTACTGTATAGGACCTGGCCTGATCACTTTGGGACGGACAGACATACAATACAGTACACAGCGATGGACTCACTACAATACTGTATGACCCTGGACTGATTACTTTTGGACGGATAGACGACATACAATACAGTACTGTACTGTACAGTACCGTACAATGGACACAGCGATGGACTCACTACGATACTGTACAGTACAATGTACACAGCGATGGACTCACTACAATACTGTACAGTACTGTACCGTACTGTATGACCTGGACTGATCACTTTTGGACGGATAGACGACATACTGTACATTGTACAATACAGTACCGTACGATGGACACAGCGATGGACTCACTACGATACTGTACAGTACAATGTACACAGCGATGGACTCACTACAATACTGTATGACCCTGGACTGATCACTTTGGGACGGATAGACGACATACAGTACTGTACAGTACGGTACAGTACCGTACAATGTACTGTACACAGCGATGGACTCACTACAATACAGTACTGTACTGTACAGTGTATGACCTGGACTGATCA